TGCACATTGCCAAGAAAAATGTTACGTAAGTGCTACCTTAAAGTCGTGTACGCATGTATACTTACGTGTCGATCGAGTAAAGCCCACCTCTGTGCCAACCATATACAGGTCCGCATAAAGTCCTTTCTAGAATGGAACAAAACTTTCACAATTGATATTAACGGTCTGAAATTCTACTGTGTCTATAGACCGTGTGAAACCAGCCTATTTGCTTTCGGACTCTAATTTGCCTGAACTGAAAACAAATAAAGACTTAAAGACAGTTCAGCAGAATAAATCTGCAAACGAACTCTCTAAGACACAAACTGTCACCAGATCGGGAAGACATGTTCACTTCCCTAAGAAACTTGCTTCTTACATAACAATTTAAAACATTTTTTTTAAAATTCATATCTTAACATATTTTCTTGTTATTTCATGTTTATTATATGTGTCAATACCTTGTTATATATTGAATTGCATTTTGATCTTTTCTAATTTTATATTCTAATTTTGTAATCATGAAAAAAAAAAAATACCCGACAGTACGGATCCTCTGAGATAATTTCATAACCTATGTCGTTCCTTTGAATAGCCATTAAAGGAACTGGGGGGAAACTCTGTGGTGATGGCGATAAGGAGCGCGCCTTGCGCCCTCCGATAAGTGTGGCAACCCTAGAGGAGAAGTTTCTTACGAGTAGCGAGCAGAGCGAAACAGGCAGGCTGTCGGGGAGTATGCGCGATGTTCCTAAATAAAGTTTAATTTTTATTGTGCACTATGTCTTGTTAATATTTATATTAATGCAGTACGAACATAATCTGTGATATGTAATTCGAGGATTGGTGGTAAAAACTTAACAGGAAATCACTATAGTATAAATCTATTTATAATAAACTTTTGAAAAAACAAAAATCTGGTCGAATTTGTACATAATGCCTACTAATATACACCGAAGGGCAAAGAGGGGGGTTAAGTTAGCTCCGAAATTTTAGAAATGCATTTAAAAAATGATCTTTGATCATTAACTTTCAGTTTCGAAACAAATCCAGAACCATTTTGGAGTAGCATAATGTAAAAAGAGAAGAAGCGCGTTATATTCTTCAGCAAAATCTAGCACGTGCTTTTATAAGGTATTTTCTACTTCCTTTCTGCATGCCTTCGTGGTGTTACGTTAGCACACTTGGCGCGTATTCTACACGTCCAAGTTCGAGTCCTGGCGAGGGCGTTGCTCATTTTTTACATCTCAACTTAAAAAAAAAAAAAAAAAAAAAAAAAAACTATTGACTCTACAAATTGATAACGATTAAATGTTCAAAGTGAGAGACAAAAGTCATTGTCAAGCATTTTACATAATTTTCATTTATTATTACTTATACAAAGTTCAACTATTTACCAGCCATCAAGCAATGGGTTGAATTTAATAACGTCTTTAAACAAATCCTTTTAAAATTTTACACATGTCTTCAATGAATTTAATGCCTCAAGAAAAAAAAGACAATATTAATAAAAACTTGGCATCAAAATTTATAAAAAGTCTGAAAAATTTCAGATTTTAACGATCCCCCAAAGGATCTGTTAAGATTTTTTACGCTCTCATTGAGCTCGCAGTCTACCAATCCGCTGTTGCACTCACTCCTGCTAGCTTTTGCAGCAACAATTATTATTGGTCATAATAACTACAACTACTTCTACTAGATAATAACTACTACTTTCACTTTACCTATAGTTTTAGTTTAGTTTCTAAGGTTGTCATGGCTAAAATCAGTAAGGAGTTAGTGAGTGCTACAACGAATAATAAAGATGTTACATATAAAAAATTGATTCTTGCTTTTGCTTTTAAATTATTATAAAAAAGAACTTTGCAAGCAACTGCATTCTTGGTGACCTCGAAATTATTCATAAAGATGTCAGAAAGTGAAGAATCGGCGATTAAAGAACTAGCACGAGTAAGTGTAAAATACCACCTCCCTTTTGGGCTGAAAAGCCAGAGATATAGTTTTATCAAGTAGAAGCGCAGTTTTCTATTTGTGGAATAACTGCCGAGGAAACTAAATTCAACTAGTTAGTTTCGCAATTGGAAGCAAAATTTGCTGAAAGTTTGTGGGATATTATAAGTGACAATAGCAAAACCAAAAATATACTGCTGCTAAAGAACGTTTCTTGAACACTTTTAAAGAAATTCAAAATAAACGTTTACAGAGGCTGCTAACAGGCATAGACTTGGGATAGCAACCTAATCAACTTTTACAAAAAAGTGACCTAGTTAACTACCTAGTCAACTTTCAGAAAAAATGCGAAATCTTGCTACCGATGGCATTTCGGATAAAGTTCTTAAAACACTATTTCTGCAGAAAATGCCAGATTCTGTGCGCAATATTTTACTCGTTAGTGATGAAGATATCGAAAAACTGGTTCTAATGGTCGATCGTATCATCGAAATGCAACCGAAACAAGAACTATACTGTGCCAGCAGTATTGTTTATCCAGGAGCAGATGCTATTGCTGAATTACGACAACAAATTGCAGCTTTGGATAATAAACTCGAAAAACTAACTGTCGCAAGGAATTCTCGTCCTCGCTCAAGAAATAGCAGTCGATCATCTAATTATCAAAGTAAGTCTTGGAGCCGTTATAACCCTAATGGCAAGTACTGTTATTTCCACTTTCGTTTTCGAGAAAAGTGTTTTCCTGATAGATGCAAAGCCCCATATGCATGGAAAAACAACTCCCCAGAAAACAAGAATTAGCGGCAGACTCTGCTGCTGTAAATAAAGAAAATTGCCGTAAATTCCGCTTATTTATCACGGACAAAAAAACAGGCTTACATTTTCTGGTTGACAGTGGAGCAGAGGTAAGCCTTATTCCTCGTACTTCTAAACACAAAACTTATTAGTGACTATAAATTATATGCTGCAAATAATATAGAAATCGATACTTTTGGTACAGAAGTTTTAACTCTTGATTTTGGTTTACGCCGAGAATTTCAATTCCCATTTATTGTCGCAAAAATTAGTAAACCCATATTAGGTGCAGATTTTTTAAATAAGTTCAATTTATTGATTGATATAAAACATAAAAGGTTAATTGATGGTGTGACGAACCTTGCAGTTTATGGTCACATCGCACCCATCTCTATTAATGAAACTGTACATACAATGGACAGCTTATGTAAATATTCTGATTTATTTGCTATATATCCTAGTATAACAAAACCAAATTTTCTTATTTCTACTGTAAAGCATAATGTGAAACATCATATTATAACTAAAGAACAACCTGTAAATTGTAATGTAAGACAATTAGACCCTAAACGGTTGGAAATATAGCTAAAAGAAAATTCAAATATATGCTAGACAATAACATCATTAGTCCGTCCAGTTCAGAATGGGCAAGTCCCCTACACATGGTGACAAAGAAAGACGGTTCTTTCCGCCCATGTAGGGATTATAGAAGACTGAATGATTTAACTGTACCTGATCGTTATCCCATTCCTCGAATTCAAGATTTTCAACATATTTTAACTCATAAAACTATATTTTCTAAAATTGATCTCTTTAAAGCGTATTTTCACGTTCCAGTAGCAGACGAAGATAAAGAAAAACTGCCATCATCACACCTTTTAGTTTTTACCAATTCAATGTCATGAGTTTTGGTCTCAAAAATGCCCCGCGACCTTTCAGAGGTTCATCAATGAAGTTTTTTATGGCCTAGATTTCGTGTTTCCATATTTGGATGATATGTTGATTGCCTCTTCTTGCGAGGAAGAACATCGTTTACATCTTAAAGCAGTTTTCCAGCGCTTAGATAAATATGGTCTCCGAATCAATATTAGCAAATCAGTTTTGGGAGTACCTGTAATAGACTTTTTGTGCTATCAAATATCTGCTGAAGGTTCAAAACCTCTACCTCAAAAAATTAAAGCTATCATAGAATATCCATTGCCAGAACTATACACCAACGTCGTTCCTTCTTAGAAATGATCAATTTCTATCGTAATTATATAAAAAAATGCCTCAGAAACTCAAGCTCCTCTTCATGAACTTTTGACAGGATCTACAAAAAAAGATTGACGTAAAATACTCTGGACCAATGAAACCAGGAAACGTTTTGAAAAATGTAAACAAGATATTGCTCAAGTAGCGTAGATGGCCTACCCCAATTCGGATTACCCTCTGGCACTTCTCACAGATGCATCCGATTTGGCTATTGGGTCAGTTACTCAACAAAAAGAACCAAATGGATGGAAGCCTATTGTATTTTTTTCAAAAAAGCTTAATGATGTCCAGAAAAATTATAGCGCTTACGATCGCGAGCTTTTAGGTATATATTTATCCGTTAAACATTTTAAACATTTACTTGAAGGCCGCGATTTTACTATTTATACGGATCATAAGCCCTTAACATTTGCTTTTAAGCAAAATAATAACAAAGCATCTCCCAGACAACTAAGACAGCTACAATATATCTCAAAATTCTCTACTAACCTACGCCATATAAATGGTCAAAACAATGTGGTTGCAGACTGCCTATCTAGAATTGTGGACATCGATTCACCTGTTGTTGATTTTGACCTGATAGCAGATGCATAAATTAATGATGATGAACTGCAACAGTTGAAATTACATTCCAAATATTGCATTGCACCACCAATTACCATCAGGAAAACTCTTATATTGCGATACCTCTACTTCTAATATCAGACCATTCATACCTAAAACTTTTCGGATGAAAATATTTAATGCCACTCATGGTTTAGCTCACCCTGGAATCTGAAGTACTGTAAAAGAAATTACTAAAAGATTCATTTGGCCGGATATAAAAAAAAGATGTTAAACAGTGGGCCCAAACTTGTATCGATTGTCAGAAAAATAAAGTAACTAAACATACAAAATCAGAATATTGTCAATATCAAGCACCAGACGAAAGATTTAACGTCGTGCACATTGATTTAATTGGGTCTTATTCACCTTCTAATGGATACACTTATTGTTTGACGTGTATTGATCGGTTTACCTCTTGGATGGAAGTGGTACCGTTATCAAATATCACAGCAGAAAGTATAGAAAGAGCCTTTTATGAACATTGGATAACACGATTTGGTGTACTTTCTTGTGTTATTACTGACAGAGGAACTCCATTCATTTCAGAACTGTTTCGAAATTTTGCTTCGCTATGTGGAGTAAAAGTAAACCATACAACTTCTTACCATCCTCAGAGTAATGGGAAAATTGAGCGTCTACACCGTACTTTTAAAACAGCTATTAGATGTCACAATTCTCTTCGTTGGACAGAAACATTACCAACAGTTCTTATGGGTTTGCGAGCTGCTCTACATGAGGACTGTAAATATACAATAGCTGAAATGGTTTATGGCAAAACTATTAAATTACCTGGCGAATTTTTTGAAGAATCAAACATGCCAACGTCTAATGATAATTTTGTAAGTAATCTTAGAAATCAGATGGCCCTCTTAAAGCCCTATCGATCCAAATCCAAATGTAAACAAAAGATTTTCATCCCAAAAGATTTGTACACTTGCTCGCATATGTTTCTGCGGGTCGACAGAGTAAAAAAACCTTTGGAGCCTCCATATGAAGGACCCTTTTTGGCACTGCAAAGAACCCCGAAATATTTTCTTCTATCAATGAAAAATAAACAAGTTAGTATCTCTGTGGATAGGTTAAAAACAGCTTATGTGTTACAACCTAATGAACTTTTGTCTCCAACTTCAAAAAGTGATCATACATCTGTTCCAAGAAAGCAAACATCTGTGCCAAGTCAGCAAATAGAACAACCTAAAAAATCAACACGCTGTGGAAGACAAGTAAAACTTCCAGTTCGTTTCAATGACGTTATTGACTTTTCTTGAACTTTCATATTAATTTAAAACGTAACTATATTTTTCTTTACATAATTTCAATTTATATATTTGTATCAGTGTTATTTGTATAGATATTTGTATCTTCTCTCCCACCTTGTTTTCAGAGTAACGTAACTTCGTTACTGGTAGAGGAGTGATGTAGCAACAATTATTATTGGTCATAATAACTACAACTACTTCTAATAAATAATAACTACTACTTTCACTTCACCTATAGTTTTAGTTTAATTTCTAAGGTTGTCATGGCTGAAATCAGTAAGGAGTTAGCGAGTGCTACAATGAATAATAAAGATGTTACCTTTTCAATTATTATAAAAAAGAACTTTGCAAGCAACTACACTTATTAAGCACCACTATTAAGCACCATTATTAAGCACCATTATTAAGCACCACTTTCTTTGCACTTACGCCATATGCAATTTAACAGCAAAATTACATAAATTTTAAAAGCAGCATATATTCAGAATTCCCGATGCAGTTAGCATGTTTTTCTATTTTTTTCAGTATTTTCCCAGTTTATCATATCAAAGTTCAGTTTTCTTAGTAAGATGGCTTACAAAAAGACTTTTTTGTGTCTTATTATTATTAACGTCTTATGTGTAAACTTTATTTATTAGCTAACACGTTCTTCGCACTTATGCAACATAAATTTCGATTCAACAGCAAAGTCACAAAAATACTTAAAAACAGCAAATCAGCTAATTTCGGATAGTGTCGCACGCTGGAGATAAAAATATTTTATTCCGAACAGAGTTGACACTGCTCGCTTTCAAATCGTTGAGTTGTAAAATAAAAAATTCATCAAAGTTTTACAAAAATGAAATATAAAGCTCTAAATTCAAAATTCGGGCTTCCAGTGCACATGTTCGGGTGTAAGACAGCGTTATTCAAAATTTAATGGCTCTACGTACCGTCGTTTTTTCGCAATACGAAAAACATACATGCAGATTCTTCATTACTTAATTTCTTTAAAGATAATACAGGGCGACAGTATTTGGTGGCAACAAATTTGAAAAGTGATTCGCCGTTTATAGTGGACAACGTAAATTCGGTTCCGAAACTAATAGGCTATTCGGGCTAACGTCTGTTTGGACTAAAAATATAAAAATTCCAAGCTTTATAAACGGATTAACTTAATATGGAATCTGGACGAATGATTAGCTCCATTGGTAACCTAAATACGAGCGATTTTCCGCACGAACGTTTTCCATGAAAGCATCCCTCTACTTAGATAAGTAGTTCTGTTATGCTTTGCATATTTAATTAAACAAAAAAAATATGATAGGGAATTCCTCTTTCTTTATGAAAAATAACAGAAAACATATTCTTTCAGACATGTGAAAATTCAACTTTAAGAAAGCCAAGATTATATATAAATATGAAGAGAAGTGAAAAAGAATAGTTAATAAATTTGATTTTCAAGAATCAATTCAAGATCTAATATTGTTAGATAATTATTTTTTCATGGTAGAAATGAAAGAAATGAGAAAGATTTTAATTTTATAACTAAAAGAGCTATCAAAAATTAAACAAGGCAACTTCTAATTTTCAGTTTCTAACTGATGAAAATTAATGTCACTGGATTTGATTTTTCAAACTGGACAGCTTAGCGTTTAAATGCTTCGCATATTTCATCAGAAATATGTAGTTTTAACCCTCTTGTAGGATGAATGGCTTTCTTATTCCCATTACACATGAAAATTTCTACCTGATCTGGATGCATCTGATTTAAAGTTGGATGAATATCAGAAGAAAAAGAGTCAAGATACAAAATGAGAGGGTCATTTTCGAATTATAATCACAATTCTACCTATTCATTGAAGGCCATTCCGTAATGCTTGGAAGATTTAAAAACCGCAATATTTCAATCACTCTGGTTGCTAAGCAAAATCAGTCTTTTAAAAATAGTTCAGGAATGCAGTAAAGTTCAAATATATTTAAATTCAAAAACTTAGTAAAGAATATTTTTAACATTGTTATTTATTAATGTTAGGGGGAAAGAATAATAAATTAAAACAAAAGAAAAACTGCAAAATCTTCTCTTGGCCCTAAAAAACGTTCAGATACTTTGTATATTAATTGTACTACTATTTATATTATTTCAGGGTTATTTGGTATTTATAAAAATGTACTTTTTAATGATTTCATTTAAAAATTCTTGATTTTTTGAATGCGTTCACAATGTTGAAACTGTTTTCTCATGAATTCCTCAAATTTTGTGAAACTTTTATTGGAAATACAATGCTAAAATTAATACTAATAGAAATAAATCTTGTAGCCATTCTCTTTGAAAGCCATTTGCAGCGAGAATAACTGTAAATATTGATTCATAAAAATTTTCTAATATTTTGTTATTTATCATTTTGATCTCAATGTTTTAATATTGAACGATAGTACATATTTCTTTTCTTTTCCTCTCTTAGATTCTCTATAGTTTCGCTAAATAGAAATTATCGCAGTCACGTTGCCTGGGTACGTTATCGTAAGATAGTTGGACATTTCATTATATTTGGTGATCGCGGATATTGCTTGGCTTATTCATCGTAGGCTAATAAGAATTATTTTACTCATATATATGCATTTTCATTTTGGGATGCCTTACTTCAGACTAAGACTCTTAAATGGTACACCCATTTTAGAACAACAAAATTTTACATTGTGAGGATAAAGTGTTTGAACTCGGGATACGCATGTAATATTAATGAATCATTTCTTAGATATGGTTTCTTTGCACTTAGATTTCGAGATGAATGAGAATCTCCGAGCATTTATATTTTATTCCTTAGTTAAAATACCAATGGAGCAAAATGCTTTAGCTGTATAAGAATATATGTGATGTAACTCGAAAGGAAAGTTTCACATTCAAAAATCCAGTAACCTCCAGAATTTGGAAAATGCCTGATTTTCATGGTTATATATGCTATATATATTTAACAGAAAATTAGCACCTATATGATGTTCTTTAAAAAAAGAAAATTAAATGGAAGGAAAGAAGAAACATTAAATGGGAAAAGAGACAAATTAATCAGAGACCTTAAATTTAAAGAAACATTAAATGAAAAGTAAATGAAATATTAATTTATTAACATTTCATTCAAATAAAATAATTTCCACAAAATTTTAATTTAGCTAAATAAAATAATTCTACAGCATTTTAATTCGAAAAAGCAAAATAATTCCTCAGAGTTTCTGTTGAAAAAAAAAATCCCCAGAGTTTTAGTCAAACTAAACAAAATAATGCCTCAGAATTTTAGACAATATTGCACCTTCAAAAGAAGCTAAATAGCAGATGGCTGTCAGGATGATTATCATCATGACTGACAGCATAACAGCATCTTCAGCAACAGAAACTGCTTTAATTAAATTATGGAGGAAATGCTTGATAGAGGCAACAACACATGCCTTCAAGTTGATGGGAGTTGATTGTCAACTGTATACATCGCTACTGCTTCTTCCTTTTCCTGTATTTTCTTGAATATATCATGTAATGTCTATTGCTTCATATACTTGGATCTTTCTCTAATAAGTCTACCTTTTAACGTCAACATTCATGATTTCTAGCTAAGTTACAAAATTCCGTTGTTCAATTATTACAATTTGAAGCTTCAACATAATTAACACGTCAATAAAGACCTTTTCCTCTCACATTTTCCTCGTTTTCTTCACTATTTTCATCATCATCACAATTTGTACAGGACATCATCACAACTTGCACTCTTTGGACTTTTAAACATATCTACAATTTTAGAATCACTGCAAAGATGGACTGTAGACACATTTTCATTAACATCCATCCATTCTGCTAACACATCCTTCATTAAACCTTTATGAAAGCTCCTTAGTAGAGATGAGCAAAACGGCTCTATTAGGAGATTGGATCAGAATCATTCGCTCACTTAATATATTGTTTCTTTTTTATGACTCCCAGCTTACTGGCAAAAAGCTTGATGAAAAAGATTCGGAACAAAGGGTGAACCAAGAACGGTTAGCGAGGATGGAGCGAATAGCGAAAAAGAATCGAATAAGCAGTGAGATCGGAAGAGTCAACACAATCAAACGTTAACTTCCTGAACTGATTTCTTCCAAATGTAGTCTCTAAAACCTCCTTTCTACGCAGAATTAAAAATAACATTCTAGAATAAAAAAATTTTGAAAAAGCTAGGAAATGATAAAAACTAAACTTACTTTTAACATGGGAAGCTAAATATTCTTTTCTCGCCTAAAATAGGAAAAGACTTTTCTGGAACGCTTCCAACAACAGTTCCATTATTTTTCCGTGAATCGGACTGCTGATCTGTATTCCTGGCAAGCTTCCAAAGAGTTCTTGTGACCTGCAACAGAATTGCAACTCCATTTTCTGGAATCAAAGTAAATTCGCTCAGTTAAGCGAATCGGTTCTTTGAACCAGTTCCGGAACGGATCTTCCAACTCTATTCCTTAGTATCATGATTAGTTACATATTTAACATAAGCAAGAATTTGCTGTATAAGCTGCTTTTCTTTGGAAATCTTAACCTCGGCAAAATTTTTCAGTGTCTTTCTTAGAGTGAAAAGTAAGCATTTGATTAATTACAAGGCCTACACAACAAAAAATACGTGACAAAATGAGAAGGAATAAATCTATTGGCACGTGCAAGCAAGACACAACAGCTATTTCTGGAGTACAGCGGCAGCATGTTGTGACTGCCGTTAGGTAGCGCTGAAGCGCATAACTAGACTTTGTACTTTTGTGGCAACCCTGTAGTTGCGCTGTGTTCTAAAGAATTGTAGCAAGAACCGACTGAATCGGTAATAATGATTTGAACTCTCGTTTGACAGTTATTTAAAATACAGTGTCTCAAAAAAGTGATGGGACACTTGTGCTTTACAAAAAGAAACGGTAATTAAATAAATTAAAAAAACATGTAAACATTTTTTGTGGGTGTGTTTCATACTTAAATTTAGTAACAATTATTACATAACATACATTTTTTTCAAAATATTAAAATA